GGGGGGGGGGGTCTTGGGTTAAAAGTACCCCAAAATGTGTCTTAGCCTTCCCTGTAGTTCCCATAACCAAAAAAAGAGTCCTTACTGTTAAAGCTGGTTCACTTGCTAAATGCTACAATATATGTGTCCAGATGTAGAGTGCAGCTCCTATATTTTTTGTTTGTGGGCTATCTGCTCTATCCATCCCAAATTTAGCAGTGTGAGACTAGATGGAAGGCAGCCAGTCATCACCACCCACTGCCAACTCTTGGGCAACTCTTTTACCAATAAATAGTGGAATCGACCATCACATTATAATGCCCCCATGGCTGAAAGGGCAAGCATGTTTGGTAGGATGGGAATTTGAACACGCAACCCTCAGATTGTGAATCAAACGCCCTAACCACCTGGCCATGCTGAGCCCTAATTTTTTGTCTTGTTCACATCAGCTCCCTAGCTAGGAAGAAGCTGACTCTGCCCCTGGGAATTAATAGTAGTGGTAGTAAAGGTTGAAATAAGCACTTTTTTTATAGTGTTTTTTGTTCAACTTAAGAACCTAAAAATTAGAAGACTAAAGGCCCTAACAGTAGTGGTGGTAAAAGTTGAACACAGCATATTTTTTACAGTGCTTGAATTCAACTTTGGAATTTAAAGTTAGTATACTAAATGCACTAATGGTAGTGAAAGTAAAGTTTGAACCCAGTACTGTTTAGATTATGCTTGGGCTTAGCCTGTGAATATGAAAAACAGAAGATGTAATAGAAGTATTTGCATATTAGGTGTATTAAACTGATACATACATATCTATATATATAATAACCAAATGTCTGTTCATCATACTTTGTATCTCCTGAATGGTTAATCATGGGAAAAAAAATTATATATCAAATTGCTTCTTTTCGAGAATACATTATTGTGAAATTTTCCAATTTTGGAAATTCCTGAAATTTCATATCGATATCAACATTGATCAGTCAGTCTTCATATGTACTGAACAGTCAATCTGAGAAAATACTTATTATGAACAAAAATGTTTCTTTTTGTGAGGGAATTTCACGCAAAAAATGGGACTTCCTCTGTTGACTGATTGAAACAAATATTTTGAAGATAGGAACATGAACAGAAAAAACACCTGAAGAGTGTTTGAGTGTATATTTCTTGTTGTTCAGTTTTTTTTTTCATGTCAGTATTAAATACATACATGATTTTATTGTACCATGTCAAAGATATTTATTTCAATTGAATTGAATATCCTCCCTTTGACACTGCTTATAGAAATGACAACTGTCAAAAACTGCACATTTCAGTAGTGGTCTTTTTGGTGCTCAGTAAAATGACAAGGAATGGTGGCATCCAGCTGAAAAAATCCTCATGGATACATAGCAAACCTGGGCGCTCTATTGTTCTAGATGCACACATTCCATCAAAATCCAAACATTTTTACCAACAATGCATTGCAGTCAATCTCTTTTGCTTGAAAACAAAGGCAATGCAATTTACCTTGTTGAAATAACACATAGAATGGCAAATTATGGTTGTATATGGCCCACTAGACAAACATACTGCTTTTATGCTATAATCCAAGGCATTGGGTTGACTGCACATTTTTAATTTATTCATCACTAATTTTAGGAAATTTATTATTGTTAATATATTAATTTATTAACATTGTTAATTTAGCAATAGAATTGTACATGAAGCAACAATGTGTCAGATTACTATGAAATATGCCTTGTTTAGAGACTGAAAGATTATGTAAATTAACTAAATACATGAGATGTAAACTCATGGTCTAACCACTAAATAAAAATCCTGCCCTGAGTTTAAATAAGTTAATTTACGATATATAGTTAAAATGAATTATTGCTGATTGTCACTCCATAGTGTTATTAATCTTGAAGTGATTTAATTTTGGAATATTGTGTTTTTTTGGAATTAGGTTTTTTTATTCTTCTGGTTCTTTTTCCTAATTTCTTTATTTATTGAAATTAACAACATTGATATTTATGTTATATTGTTTATTAATGTTTGTATCAAGTCCTGGCCAGGCACACACTTATTAACTGTTGTTTTTTGTAAGTGATAAAATTTTTATTCCAACTGTTTGAAAATTTTTTGGGGATTTCTGTGGTTGTTAGAGTTTAATAAGTACTTTTTTTTGTTCAACTCTGGTTGTAGCAGCATTTTGTTTTAATCTGTTAGACTCTATTACTGTACTCACTCTTCACATGAGCAGTTTATAAATAAAAAATGAATACAGTATCAAAAATTTTCTGTGAAAAGGAACAAGATTAAATTATATATCTAATTCTTATAAAGAAACTTCATTGCAACTTTTTTAGCAAACCAGGATGTCAAGAATTGAACTAATGGAAATCAAATCTGAAGTTGATAATTCTTTCTTGAGCATTACAGAATCCCCCACTCAAACAAGAGCTGTCCTTAAATCCACAGTCCAATCCAAAACCATTAAACTGCCAACATAAAAAATAGAACTTCCAGGCAGGTAACACAATCACACCAGACCAGTTGCTGAGCCAAGCATGTATACAGATGGTTTGACTCACAACCTACTCAGCTCAAATGACCCTCAGGTGACTACTAGATTGGTACCAATATAATGAGTCAGGACACTAAATAATCTACTCTGACCAAGGCTTGAATAAAAAAAAAGTAATGTTCTGAGACCAATGCCAACTGAACTATCAGACTCAAATCCCATGCAGATAATCTCGATTTTCATTATTACACCTTGTAAAGATTTCTAATATAAAAAAATATTTTGGAAACAAAATATCATAATATTATACATAAACAATAAAATCCCTATCAAACATTTCAAATGGATTTCATTGTAATTCTTGAGAACTTGTCTTTGGTGAATAATCGTCATGTCACACATGTATTAAAAATGAGAGAGCTGTTACATAAATAATATGCTGCAAAAGATTTTCATTATTAAATAGACTATTTTAAATTCTTAAGGATCATATGATACTGACCATCATTTATTCCATACTTTGCATGTAATACTGGATTTTCATACTGTGTCCTTCTATTTACATGACTGGAAAAACACAAAGCACCAATATATGTAAGAAAATAGAAGAAAAAATTTTTCTAGAACATATGTTAAATCATAAGGATAAAAGCCTAATCAATAAATAAATGTGATAATAGATACATTAAATATCTTATCAATAAATATAGGTTATCACTGCAGAAGGAGTATTTGCATCAATTAAAATAAAATTTGAAGAACTGTGAGACAACAACTTATATTTTATAGAGATGTACGACAAGGAAACTTCATGAGTAAAAACTGCAAAACTCACAGTAAATTATGTACAAATTATTAAATGAAGCTTTTTACTATTTAAATATTTTGCTCTTATTTTATATAACAGATGAACTTAGAAAAAACAATAAATTATTACATGTACAAGTGCTCATTTTTGATATTAATGAATAATTTCCAAGACATCATTACTTTTCTAAGAAATTTTAGCTATGGTTTTCGATTATGTCACATCCAGAAGTAAAATTTTCAAAAATAAAAGTAGAAGTACTCAACTGGGTGAACTGGACCTGTTTTTAAAAATCAGAAAAAAATCCATGTGTAAACATAAAAAATGACAAAGTAGCTCAAATAAGTCCTGGTACTAGTACCAGTGAATTATTGGCAGAATTTCACCCCTAAACACATCACATTAAAGAACTGTGCTAATGCTCAGCAGGAACAAAAAATGATGTTGTAGCTGTACAAATAAAAAAATGGCTGAATTTTGTTAGATCACCAGTGGCCTAAGATGAACTATTAGTAAACACTTAATTATTCTGATAGTTTCTTAGTTTCAGCTTGCCTAGAATTTGAAGTTTACACAAGTATTATAGACTGTTATTACTGATTTCCTATACTTTATTTGTTACAGAAAGTGTTCTTATATTACATGTTGTGAGACTTTTAACTCAACACGGTTGAAAATCTATCAAGTCACATACAAAGAATCATAGTTCAGCTTTTCTTGTACATATTTAATTGATTGATTCTACTTACTCTATAAAATATGTTCCATAGTGAGGGTCATTTATTTTCTCCCATCCATAAGGAAGTTCTGTAAGACAAAACAATCTAATTGACTGAGAGATTACTTGTTATTTTATATATATGTACGAGGAATATATATAGATGTTTCCTGAAAAGTCTTCCCTAAGCTCAAGAGTTTCTAACACCTACATATAAACTAAAACTGATGTAAATATGATTCCAACCTCAGTGAGATAAAGTGTGGTACCTTCTTAAAAATTCCCAGAGAATAGTCACAAACACATGCAGTATAAAATCAATTTCTAAACATTAAAAAAATGTTCAATTTCAGAATCTAGCATATTATGATAATCTTATAAGTTTGTGTTTTCCATCTCATTTTAGCTTTTTATCAATGCTGTCTATTTTAATGAGATACTACTGATGACTCAACAAAAGGCTAACATCTCAAGTTACAAATAACTTTAACATTTGGCCCGGCATGGCCAGGTGGATAAGGCGCTCGACTCACAATCTGAGGGTCGCGGGTTCGAATCCGCATCCCACCAAACATGCTCGCCCTTTCAGCTGTGGGAG